ATTTCATTGAAATGAAATTGTATGTTCTAATTTAAAATGAGTAAATATTAGAAAATAACAGCTGAGTAATCTTTATTAGGGGGAAAAAAAAGTCAAACTGAATTGGGTTTCAAATATCAAGTCGAGTAAATTATGATTCGACCTGAAATAAATAAATAAATAAATATATAGCCTACAATTTAATCATCAAATAAACATCAATTATGGAAACATGGATGAATCCATTTTTTTGCAAGTGTACACATTGTTATACTTAAAGAGCTATTTCTGGTTAACCCATAAAAAGTATTGGTTGGTTAAGTCATGTTATATAATATTTTTTGCTTAAAAGCGGTTCATTTAGATGTTAACATTTTAGGCTCCCATTTTTTTCAGTGTATTTAAAGGGTTTTTACATAAACTTCCCTCACAATGTGAATTTTCAACATCTGCGTTATAAACTAAATCCTTTCTTATGTCACGTTTCAGGTATGGTTCCAAAACCGCCGTGCAAAGTGGCGACGTCAAGAGAAACTGGAGGTGAGCTCCATCAAGCTGCAGGAGTCCTCCATGCTGTCCATCCCCAGATCAGGGCCACTGTCTCTGGGTAGCGGTCTGCCGTTGGAGCCCTGGCTTACCGGACCCATCTCTTCCTCCAGCTCTCCCCTGCAGTCCCTGCCCAGCTTCATCACCCCTCAGCAGGGTGTTCCCGCCAGCTACACCCCTCCACAGTTCCTCAGCTCATCCACGTTCAACCACCCTCTGCCCCATATCGGGGCAGTGTGCCCCCCTCCACCCGCCTACCAGTGCTCAGGCTTTATGGATAAATTTTCACTAGAAGAGGCAGACCCACGAAACACAAGTATCGCCTCGCTAAGAATGAAAGCTAAAGAACACATCCAGTCTATAGGGAAGACGTGGTAGACTGAGACTGATGCTGGAATGACTGAGACACTCAGAGACTTGTTCACATCTCCTTTAACTATCCAAATCAGACTCTGTTTGAGCAAATGGTTTTCACATCTGTTTGTCGTTCATAAACCTCCCAGAGTTGTTCATTTTACATTAGTGTTTTTGATTTTATCAAGAGTTCAATAAAGCTCCCCAGCTAATTCGCACATAATTCAACCATTTTTGGACCAAAAGAGCATTTAACGATTGAATAAAATATCGATCATATAATGTTTATATTATAAATGCATGCATTTCATTTCACAGAATCACATTCGTCCCATTTAAAATAGCCATCCGGTGCTATAGGGTTTGTTCATTGTATGTATTGCACAAAGCAGCCGGCCAATTTCCATGACGTTTTGTTGTATGTTTTCACTGTACAGATGAATTTTGTATTTTATAATAAAAAACAAGCTCATAAAAATATTAAATGTAATCTGTCTCCAATTCTTAATGCTTTTTAAAATTGTTGATGTCGAGTAACTTTTTTTTGCAAATTTATTATAAATTAATTTTAATTTATTAAGGCTATAAACTCATTGCATTTTTAGGGTATATTCTCCTAGATATTTGTAAAGAATTTGTATATCCTCCTGGGACCCAGGAATAGACTTTCGTCCTCTGTAGTGAACGTTATATTTTAGTGAATTTCTCATAGTTCATAGTTTTAAGTCTGAATGTCCTGTAAAAGAGCACATCCAGGGCTTCACAGATACAAATCTTTGGAGGTTTCATATGAACTGACATCATGACTGACATTACCTTAGTGATCAAATTTAGCACTCTTGTGGAAAATTCAACGCATTCTCACCCCAAGGCGTCACCTTTTGACCATGCTTCAATATTCGACGCTTTAGGCACCCTTTAGCGTCAGTTCAATGACGCGATCCTACGGCGTCATCTAACTGACGCTAAAGGAAAAGCTTCAGTTAGATGATGCGGGTAGGTCTGGGGTTGGGGTAGCCTAGGGTTAAAGGGTCCCTAAAGCTTCAGATATTGAAGCATGGTCAAAATGCTTCCCAAGGCGTCAGTTAGGTGACGCCTTGGGACAAGAATGGGCTGGGAAAATTATAATAGGCTATTTTGTAATTGTCATTTAAATTTGATTCATTTTCAGATTGTTTGTCTTAAATCAAAATCTCAGGAAAAAGTAGGCCTATGGGATTTATAATCAAAATATGGCATTGATTTCAGACATGTCCATTGTAGAGGACACCAGAACTTATGTTTATCAGGTATTTTGGGAGACATGACAAGTGAGGGAAAGAAATTATATGTTCCTATGAAATATTAGATATTATTATGAAAATGTTTCCAATTATTACTCTCAGTATCACAGTTCTTTTTTCATTACATGTTGCCCCCAAGAACACATTATGCTAATTTGGTTATACTAAAAATTGATTGGTGAATGGGAAAAAATCCCAATGTTTTTCCCTATACATTTTTATTTATTTAAACAAATTTCACGGTGTCCACTACAGAAAACATAGCATAACATATGAATCGAATAAACATAATTAAAGAAAATCCCATTTGTTTCTTATGCGCTAACAATGTGACTAAATTCTGAAAACTATTTTACTTGTTCTCAGGAGTATATAAACTGTTATTTTTAATGTCAATTATTGTTTTTACTTTTCAGTTGCCAGGAGAATACGGCAGGCTTATAGCAGAGATATCGCACTGTGAGTCTCAGAGCGGCTGAGGTCTCGCTCACTGCGGCGCTTCTCCTTCATTATGCCGCCATCTCGTGGTCGCGTTTGGAACATTCTTCTCCGCCCACCTGGCCCGGGGTAGTGAGTGACTGATCACATATATTTCTCATTACGTAATCAGATTCCAAAATTAAGTCATTAATTACATTATATTTAGTTATAATTCGTTTTTTTTTTAAATACTCGTAGGCTACTACAGTTACTTTTTTATTGATTGCATGATTACATGATATTTTCATAATGGCAGCAAATGATTCATAATTTATTGATTCTCCCAATTGTTTTTATTTATTTTTTTAATTGTTTTATTAAAGGGATAGTTCAAGCCCAAAAATTAGATTCTGCCATAATTCACTCAGCCTCATGTTTTTCCAAACCTGTATGAGTTTCTTTCTTCTGCTGAACACAAAAGAAGATATTTTGAAGAATGTTGTTGGACAGTAACGGCACCCATTGACTTCCATAGTGGGGGACCAAAAGTCTAATTAACGACATTCTTCAAAACTCATGCAGGTTTGGAAAAACATGAGAGTGAGTAAATGATGACAGAATTTTCATTTTTGGGTGAACTATCCCTTTACGAACCCCTGCAGTTCCATCACAAACACCAGTCTGAGAAACCCTGACGTTTGTCTATATAGTTTAATGCACTACTGCAGTGCCACTACATGTTGTTGATAACAAGGAATGGAATATTTTTTAACTAAAAGTAATTAACCCTTTAACTGTCACTTGCCCGTGTAAGGGCAACCTAAAATTTACTTCACATATTACTACTAAATCCTAATCTAGTCATGACAAACTATATATCGTTGGAAACGTCTAAGACTCCTAAATAGATATTTTAGTGCTGTTTTTTTTTTTCTTACAAATTATGAATGAGCAGTAATATATGAATTTATGACAAGAGCGCGCCTCAAAAAATCGACGTCATTACAGAAGTTTCTGACCTTTGTCACAAAAAGTCGACGCACACATTTTTAATAATTGAAACTTTGGTTTTGAGTCCTAAAAGTTCATAATAAAACATAATTAGTATTTTTCAATAAAAAAGATACAATTATATTTTAAAAAGTAAGGTAAGAAGATATATATATAATTTTTGTATTATTATTATATCACATATTTTAGTAGTTATCATAAATTAGGTATCATTTGAAAGCTTACGAACTCAGAATTCATCCTGTGAAAACCGTTTTGAAATTAGAGGTTGCGTTACCATAGAAATGGTATTTTTTTATTAGGCCCCTCCCCTTTTGGGCATCATCTTTAATAATTTATTATCAAAACCTTTTCTAATCTTGACAAAACACATATTGTCCGAAAGCTCCAAGTCTCAATGTTCCATATTTAGTGACAGAAGTGATATTTGGATAGAAATTTCTTAATTTGTTATGGCAGAATGCATACAATTAAATTCAATGGAATTCAATGGCACCCGGTGGCTATTTTTGGTATAACGCCTAAACAAAATCTCGAACTTCAATTTTTGTGATATCAACTTTAAATTTGGAACACAACTTGGTTAGATATATAGCTTTAATTTTATAGTTAAAAAATAATTTGTAAAATATTTATTTTATTTTATTAAAAAATATATATTAATAAAGTATATTTGATTTACTGTAAATTATAACTTCCATAACTTTTTCATACTTTAATTTTTTGAACTGCTTTCACTTCAGTAATAATCTGCTGATTGTTTTCTTTAAAACAAGACCAAACTTAGGTCTATAGTCCAAAGCATTCTTGAATTACAACCATTTAAGTTTGTATAGTGCATTTTAATGTCAATTATCAGGTAAAGGGCTAAACAATCAGATTAACTAAATGTGCAATGTAGTGGATTATGTTAATAAAAGTGTTTATCATGTAATTTGGTAACTGTAACTGACTACAATTTGTAAGCAATCTACCCAACTTTGCTTACAATCTACACATTTTTACATTTGTGGGGAATTTTTAGGCTGTGTTCTATTTCCAGCCTCCAACTTTTTTTTATTTTTACTATCGTAGTATACTCAGTAAAATATATTATATCTAAAATATAGGCTATATTTATTTTATATATGTACTATATATAGGAGTTCTTATAAATCGAGGGTTAGTCCCCATACACTCCTCAAATATAACTACGACACAACATTTTTGTCATTTATACGGTGTAAAATTCAAATGAAGCATGTATTATAAAGTTTCTTGACGCATAATTATTTCTCGACACAGATGTGTAAAAAATAAATAAATAATCAAATAAAATAGAGGCTTGTTTTAAAATCCCTCTCAAGAGGTATACATATCCATTTAAGCAAAATTTCACAAAAAAATATAGTCAATATAGTTGTTTGCATTAATGTATTCAAGACACCTGTACCAAACCCATACATCTGCATTAACACACATCAAGACTATCATCACCAAATCTTTGACATTTTTCCAGTAACTTTATCAATGATGCATTAGATTCTGATTGATGCTGAATTTCTATTAGTGGCGTTCATCTGTGACAAATGAGAAAAGCACACATCCCAGTGAAGTAAATGAACTTAACCAAATGAAAGTGTCTCTAATTGACATTTTTCATTGTAAGAAACACCGGTGTGAATAATTGAAGCCATTATTGCGCACAGACAGACCATCAACAATTTCCTGCCAGTTCTCACAGACAATGCAGAGGTTGTGATTGACTTATTCAGATGGTCATTAGTGTGCGGTGAAGAGCTTTCATGTCACCCGTCTGCCTTTGTTAAGTGAATGCTTAATAAGCGATTTATGGCCTGCCACCTCAATAGATCAATCAAAACCAATAATACATCTACTTTCAAAATGAGAAATTCAGGGTTTTTTTACTCTTCTGTGACACTACTAGCGCATTCAAGCTTAGTACATTCACTGTTTAATCATAATGCATGGAAAGCAATGTATTATAAGTAGCACTGTGATTTTTATAAACCGCAGATAGCCCAACAAGTTCAAATTTATTATATATTATTCAGCTGATATGACTACAATGCTTACTATATGGTGTCAGTTACCAAGAAAATGAATTCGTTTATAAAATAATAGCTTCAAATATACAGAATGACACTCAGTTTATGTGTATTTTCCTTGAGATAGTGACATACAAAAATATAACATGCTTATTTATATGTTGAGGAATAAAGTGATTTGTATTTGAGTTAGTTGACAAGTGAACTTCAAACCACAGTCTTTCGTCCAGTTTGTCCTCAGCTTTGGATGTCATCCTGAATTCTCAAAGCCTTTAACAAGAAGTCCTCAAGCTGTATGGGAAATATATACAAAATAAGCATTCTTACAAACAAAGGACAAAAAAACAAAGTAATTAATTAGCTATTTTAATAGTGTAATTGGATTACTGTACTAATTACTCTCTATTGCATTACTTTTAACAGTAAACATTACATTTTGGTGTTAGGGAAAAATAATTAAATTACAGTAATTATGCATTACACCCAACACTGCTTATCAAAATTTTGTCAAATAAAAACTCTAGCCTGTTAACTGTTAGTGTCCTGGTAGCGGGACGCTTTTTTATAGCTTTCTTTCTCAAACAAATATTTTAGTAATCATCAAAAATGTATCATTCAAAAGCTTAAACGCTCGTAATTCACACTGTGAAAACCATTTCTATGCTTCACAGTTAACAGGGTTAATAATAATAACAATAATAATCAACAATAAATGTTTGATTTTTGTTCATTATACTGTACATTGAAGACCAATTATGTCTTAATTAAAAAATAACACTATTAGATCAGAGCCACCCGTTTGCACTTTACATGCGTTTTGCACACATTTATGCATGAACACAATGAGCTTGTTAAAGGGATAGTTCACTTTGAAATTAATATTTTATATTTTTTAGCTTATCTCAAGGGCACCCAAGATGTAGATATATTTGTTTCCACAGTATTTTCAATTTTGATATTTTTAGGTCAAACCGTTTTTGTCTGTCAGTCATATAATGGAGGTATATGGGGTCCACCTCAAAGAGCATGCACAGAGAAGTCCAAATTAAACATGATTTAATGACTTGTAAATGTAAGCACACATTGATGGCCTAAGACATGAAAAGAGTGGTTTGTGTGAAAAAAATAACATTGTTTTTACCTCTTATAACTCACGCGGTTGTGAAAAAAAAAAAAAAAAAACGCTGTCTCGTGATATATCAAAATCGTCTTCCATTACAATTTCCTGTATATCTAAATATGTTTAGATCTTCACGGTGAAGGATAACACTTCAGAAATCTCTGTGAAAACAATGAGTGACGTACACGCGTGAGAGATCACTCCCGGGGCTTTCCGGCGCTTGCACAGACAGAAGCGCCCTCGCCCTCAGAGTACTTGGACGTCACTGTGGTTACAAGAGGTAAAAGCGATATAAATACTGTTAGTTTTCTCACACAAGCCGCTCGTTTCGTGTCTTAGGCCATCAATGTGTACTTACATTTACAAGTCATTAATTCCAGTTTAATTTGGACTTCTCTGTGCATGCTCTTTGAGGTGGACCCCATAGACCTCCATTATATGACTGACAAACAAGAACGGTTTGACCTAAAAATATCAAAATTGAAAATACTGTGGAAACAAAGACACCTACATCTTGGATGCCCTTGAGGCAGGGCCGTGCAGAGACCTCTGTAGGGGCAGGTGCTCAAAGTATAAAATGGGGCACATGGAAACAAGGCTTTATAGGGCTGTGCTCAAAATATCAATACAGTAATATACAGATGATTCTGCATCGATACAGCAGCAAATGCATTGATGGAGTTTTGAAAAAGAACCAGAACAGAAAAGACAAATTTAAAGTTTAAAATTAAAAAAAAATAATTGATGTGCTCTATATATATAACTCTGGGATTAGAAACTGAAGCATCTTAAGTTGTTCCAACCTGATGGCTTTTTCTTCTCTGTTATACAGAATAATAAAGAACAGCTGTTATAGTGAACTGTATAGGACAAAATCAACCTGGCCCATATTTCGTGCAGTAGAGTATAGTTTTATTTAATGGCATATCAGCATCTGTGGCTATTTTCATGGCAAAAACTGATTTACAAAAATACAAGAGTTACATTTTATACAATGAAAATAAAAACAAAGCAAACAGAAACCGCAATTAATACTTTACAAGATTTTTAACATTAATGTTCTGGTAAATTCTTACTCAAGTCATTAAGTGAGTTTGCTGCCTTTGCTGTTGATGTTGTTACTGCTGCTGATGATGATACTGTTGGAGTTGATCTGAGACTGTAGACATTAAAATAAACAGAGATATAGGGTATTGGCTGATTAAACCATTTTTATGTGACCATGACAAGATGTAAAGATTGCTGACAGTGTTTGGATCTGGCTCACTAGTCCACTGACCTGCTAAAGCTACAGATTCTACCCAGGCTGCTATAGTATAATAATACAATAATAGTATATAATAGTTACCTTACTAGGGCAGATGTTCACAGAGGCTTCTGCACACAAAACATAAGATACTGGTAAGCCTATGTGATAACTTACCAGAGTTGTGATAATCATTTTTATGTGAAAATATTTTTTTTTAATAAATACTGTAATAATAATAATAGTTTAAAGTACAAATAATAGTTTTTAGTCAAATAACACCCCTCCACGCCCGTGAAACTTTTCTCCCTCAAACAGCAAGCTAACGTTACTTCTACAGCCTACACACAGCAATACAAACAACATCTCTCTGCATGCTCTCTTCACGTCGTTCTAGTAAAATAATAATAATAAGTAAACAAACATCAAAATCACTTCGCTGAGAATAGAACACCACTTACCAGCAGCCGCAAGAGTTGAAGATATCCTCTGGGAATGCGCGATTGCGCGTAGCCGCGCGAAATTATAAAATGCGCGTGCAGCGTGAGGAATTAGGTGAAAGGTCATCATGTGGGTCATTTTATTTACGGCTAATTTATTATTCATTCATTTTACTACAAGTTAGATGGGGCAGGCATCCACAAAAGTGCCTTTAAATACAAAAAAAGGAGAGGAAATTTTGTCTTGACAAAAGGGCACTTTGGGCACCAAGGGGCAAAAGGGCAGGTGCTCGAGCACCCAACGCCCCCCCCTCTGCACGTGCCTGCCTTGAGGTAAGCTAAAACATATCAAAAAATAATTTCAAAGTGAACTATCCCCTTAAGGAATTAGTTCCTGTGTTCTCACCAGTTTGACTTGTCTGTCTCTCTCGTGATCTTCCTCCCACTGACGTCTTTTGGTCAGCATGCGCTGGAGAAGTTTCGAAGCATCGATCCCCTCTGTGCCGTCCTGCATTCTCTCCGCTCCTGTCCGTCCCGTCATGAGCGCATACAGATGTTTGTTGAATCTTTCCAGCTGCAGATCCTGGTCTGGGGTCGTCATAAATTCTGATTCCTCTGGTCTGACCTGCTCATCTGTGCTTTTCTTGCCCATTAAGTGCCCTAAAACAAATATAGGTCATTCGGCTGATTGCTGCTCGGATTTTAAGTACAATGACTAAACGTATATGGATTCCATGTGGTTGCAAGTGTGACTGGTTCTATTCCTACCCACTCTGAGGATTCGAACCAGTGTCACATGCATGGGAGGTGAGCGCGCTAACAAGGACGTTAAAGACTGCGCCAGCATCAGTTGCTAGTGCTCCTCTTGAGGCCATGGGAGTGAGATATACTTGAACAGCTCTTGTGCTAGCTGGCCTCTGTTACACTCGCCTCACTCCCATCCGGGTCACGGCACCAATGTGACTGGTCCTACTCTTACAGCTCAGAGCGGGATTCAAATCAGATTCACCAACATAGAAGGCGGGCGCACTAACAAGGACACTAAAAACTACAGCTAGAGTCATTCGCTAGTGCACTTCTTGAGGCCGGGGAAGCGAGTTTTACAGCTCTTTTACTAACTGGCCTCTGTTACACCCACCCCCCTAAAACTCCCATCCGGGTCATGGCACAAATGTGACTGGTCCTACTCTTACAGCTCAGAGCGGGATTCATACCAGAGTCACCATCTTTAGGAGGTGGGCGCACTAATAAGGACACTAAAAAACGCAGCCTCTAGAGTCAGTCGCTAGTGCGCCTCCTGAGGCTGGGGGAGTGAGGTTTACACACACAGCTACTCCATTACACAAGCTTTACGTATATGTTATGTATATCTTTAAAACACACATATTGATTCTAGTCTGGTATTAATGTGCAAACAAAATCAATTTGAGCCAAAATAATGCATAATTCCTTCTATTCATCATGTCAAGAAAGGCTTCATGAGAAATTGTTGAACACAAGTTCTAATGAATTCAGACTCAAAAATAGGATCAAAAGAACATATCCTATTATACTAAACAAATTCATCACACAAACATACAAAAAGCCAGATACACACCTCCTATTTTCATCCAATTAAGATACAGCTGTTAGTCTGCTCTTTGCACCCCATGGATCCACTTTCACTCATCAGTCTCAAAGCTTAAGTGACACTTGAGCGTTTTGCAATCACTCCAGATATACATAATATATGCATTTAATAAACTACCACTGGTATGTTTAACCAAGTGGTTTATATTTTTATCATTGCCTATAGTATAGCTTAAATTTAACTCTTAAAGCATTTCTTCAGGTTTTCAATGGTTTGAATGCAGCTACATTCAGCAAGACATCTTTTTATCCAGGATCATTTTGGCATGTTGTTTTTTTTTTTTTTTCAGATCATCATTATCATTTATTTAGTTGATATTTTACAATTTTATTGAATGTTATGTTTCAATTTAATAGCTTGTTATTGTACACATCTACTTCTTATATGTATTAAAAAAATACACTTCAAGTAGGCTTATGTTGCTCATTTGACATTAAGCACAACGGTAACTCTAAGCATTTAACCGAATTTTCTATATTAAAAAGTAACAAATGTAAATACATAGTAGCTTGTTTGGGATTTTTAAGGATATGTAACATCAATTTAAATGCATTTATTCGGCTCCAAAACCGAGTATAGGCTATATAAATATATGACCCAAACATATAGGCTATATTGTTGTTTTTGGGTTGGTAAAATTAAAAGTAAGATTTTCACTCACCAACAGCCCAGTGATTTCCGCGCGGATAAACTTTTCCAATTGGCTGTGCGTCTGATGCATACACACCACAGAGTACAACAACCAGAATCATGGACACCACTAATCTGGATCTCCGTACGAGGCACATAACCCCCATATAAGACTCAAGTCCCTTCACCTTCTTCGATCAGTACTCCTGTAACTTCTCGTACAGTTATTGCTTGTAGAGGCCCCTGTAATGGTGCATTTAGATAATCAGTTCATTTATAGGCTATAGTCCCGTGACGACGACCACTTAGAAAGTGAAAGAAAATGACGTGATAATTTCCTGCGCTATAGAGAGAAATTGTCGTGCCAATTTCTGGATGATTCGTGGTGGTTACGCTGAAAGTTTAATGCCCCCTCCCAGGGGTTCTGCGTCAGTATCTTGGTGGGTTAAGCTGATAAAATAAATAAATAAATAAAAAACAGAATGTCATGTTGAGCTAACCTGTCATTATCTCAGCCACCGGCTATTATGCTCCCCAAGACAGATTAAATGTGAAGTGTCATCGGTATTTCATTAGATGTGGGGTAAAAATAACTTGTAAATGGCTCCTTATTGTTTTCTCCTGCAGTTGCTTTATGTCATAGGAAAATGGTGATTAAAAATAATGTAAGTTAAATTAACTGGTCTCCCTGACCAGCTAAATAGTGCCCACAACACCTGGAAAACCAACAGTCCATTTAAGGACATATTTTACTTTTTATAAATAATAAAGTTCCTGGTAATGGACATGCAGCCCAAAGCTGTCAATATATCTCAGTTACAAATCTGTTATGAGGCTATTATAATACAGATGGTGTGTGTTTGTTGTGTGTGTGGACAATGGGGACCTACAAAGATAGGGATTTTCAACTTTTTTTTTTTTTTTTTTTTTTTTTGTCCCCATGAGGAAAACAGTTTATAAATCAAGTGTGTTTTTGAATATGTAAAAATGCTGAAGTCTAGTTTTTTTGTAAGGGTTGTGTTTGGTAGGATTTATTTATTTATTTATTTATTTATTTATTTATTTATTTATTTATTTATTTATTTATTTATTTATTTATTTATTTATTTATTTATTTATTTATTTATTTATTTATTTATTTTTTAAACAACAACAACAACAGTTTTTTGGTGTTTGTATGTGTGTTTATGTTTGAGTGCAAAACAACTATTTTGATTCAAATAAAATGACTAGCCTATAAGTGGCAACTAATCATCTTAGTGGCGTACTGCACACAATTATGAAATAAGGAGTTATATTGCAGACAGCTGTAAAAAAAAGGCATAATAGTGGATGAAGTGAAAGCTTAAAACTACCCAAAAGCTTAAATGCCACAGCGAAGAAGGTATATACAACTCTGTCCATCAATATAAAGTGCTTGGTGCAGATGTTTATTGGGAGAAGTTTATTGCTTGGTACTTTATCCACATCTCTCACTCAGCAAATGGTAGAAAGGAAGTTCCTGAAAAGTCCACAAACAAGCATGTCATGCCATGGATAAAAATCCTCAATAAAATTTAAATAGTGTTATCATGGCAAACAATTATTCATGCCTGCATTCAATGGCACCAAAGGAGAACAACATCCAACCCCCCAAAAAACTGTATTGTTCTGCAAATCAGAAAGAGCAGATGTGCTTTGATGCTTGTGGTTTCAGTTGGATGGAAAAACCAACAAGTGAACAATGCGTGCATGTAGATAGGCAGTGTGCGTGCTATTCTGTGAGTTATCATATTGAGATAATATTGAGTGACGTATTTAAAGATATTTCAGGATAGCAAAAGATAGCAAAGCCTAAATGTAAGACCTCAAAGGCACTGCCAGTTTTGTAACCGGCAAGCTGGATTTCTCATGCTGTCATTTTAATGGCTAATTAATGAAACAAAGTTGAATGTCAAAAGAGAAATGTTAGGTTAATAAACTATTTGAAAAATCTTGCAAATCAAAGTATACTTTACATATATGTTGCATAATGGTTTTTTTTCTTAATGAACTAAAAAAAAGATATAAATAGAACAATGTGTCACAATTGTTCTAAAATACACAAAAACACACACATTTTATATATATATATATATATATATATATATATATATATATATATATATATATATATAAACTAGACCTTCCTGCAGAAATTATAAACCAATAAAATGTAATTCATACAAATAAACACAGCATTACTTCCACCACTAGATGGAACTATTTGGTTTCATTTGAAGGTTACCAATCACATTAGCCTACACACTAACTAGTCTGGTAGCCTTTCTGTTGATGAGAGGACGCCAGTTTCCAAGGACAAAAACGTCCAGATGGCACTTATGGAATAATAATAATAACCGATAATAATAATAAAAGCCCAGTCACAACTGATTATGCTAATGTTGATAATAGTCTGATTATTTGATTTCGTCATGTAAAAAATAGCATTCATTTGCAATTGCAAATAGCTGTAGGCCTACTGCATTTTAAATCACAATTAAAAGGACAATTGTTAATCAGGATATTACTTGACTAAGATAAATTGCCTCAGTCCTTATAAGCAAACTGAGTGGGCTAACTTTTTCAGTTCAGATTAAAGATGAAAAGGTCAGAAATGAAATGATGTCACAACTCTACCCTAAGACATCCAGGTTAAGTGTCCCTGCATTCGCCATTCTGTTAGTGTTTTTTGCCTGATTGTGTCCACAATCACTTACATTAATGATGTATTTCAATGCTTACTAAAAACTCCTGTTTCTACCACATTGCTGATGCGCAGCAAGACTTCTGGGAATCAGCCAGGTTTGATCATGAGCTGAACTGAGTGGCCTCTCACACACACCAAGTAAGGAAACGCATGATGTCAACAGCTGAATATTATAATAGAACTCTTATTCAATAGAAGCATCTTTAAATATTAAGACAGATCTTGAAGATTGTGAGGAGTGTGTGTGCGTGTCACCGCAGTGATGATTCATGAGTAGGCTTCGTGGCACAAAACCAACAATCCACTTAATGTTCCTGCATTTCGACACTCGCCATAAGTAATTTTAATACGTGGTCTTGCGATATATGATATGATCTCAGATCATTAACCAACCGAACCGTAGATTTTATTTATCCAAGTGGGGTAAACGAATTGTTCTTATGAGTCGGATAGTTTAAATGAATCAGTTGATCCGGTTCACATAACCGATGGACTGAAGGGATTGAACCGACTGAACGAAAGTTTCCAGAGGTCCAAGAATTTATTTTTGCCAAACTAAAAAATATTAGAAAATACTATATTATTAGAATATTAGGAAATATTATATACAATATAACGGTTATTTCAGCTTGATAGTGCTGCCTTCTGTGAATTATAGATTCTAAAATAAATACTTCTGAATCGGAATCAAGGCTGCAACAAACCAGGACACAAAATAACACTATAAAAACGTAATAAACGGTGTAAGACCGTTAGACATAGAGGTACCTTAGAGCATAATAATGACATTAAGAATTAAATTCAATTAAATTCAGACATTACGCCGGAAGTATATATATGACGCAATTGCGTCATGACGTAAAAGATTCCCTGAATCATTTTTGGAAATGATCTGTTCAAAAGAGCCTATTTGGTGAATCGTGCCCGTGCCTCTCCTTACTGTCTAGTGGTGGTGCCTCTGTGAACATCGCAAAGGCTTGTGGGATTGACGGTCACAAAAAAAGCTCAGCTCACCATGTTAAAGCAGCGTGGAGTACAAAAAAAAAAAAAACGAGATTATTTAATGCAAATGTTGTTCCATACCGAAACCTCTTAGAAACACGTAACAATATATGGGCAAGCTTTGAGAACACTTTCCAATTTAAAAGAGAAAAACGTAATTTGTCCGTTAAAAAGAGCGAATAAATACTCCGTGGTGGGCGAGATAATCGTGGTGGCATTGTACGTTCTGCAATCTGCAACTCAAATGTTCAATGTTGCAGCTGGCAGTATTAGCTATTACACGATTTGAGGAATCAATAGGACACAGGCGGTCATGTGACTGCGCTTACATCTCGGGGGTGTGAGCAGCAACCTCTCCTCTCCATGTAGTGCTGTATTCGGCTGGGGGAAAGCCATGCATTCTCGCTCATTTTAGAGCAGTGCTGTCATGAGGGCTTCTTGCACCCTTGAGCAACGTTTTGCAATGCTTTTTGACAGCACTGCAATGTATTCCTGAGTCCCTCTTTCATGCATACTGATGATGTCTGTCATTCTAGGTTATGCTGTGCATGGCTGAATTTGGTGGTGCAACAGCAAGAATCATGGCTGGCCTTCTTGCTTTTGATATTTGCCTTTGCTGCCCTGCTGAGAAGAGCCATCACATGCAAGCTTTTAATTGAGACAAAGCTCTTTCTTACAAAAACCCACAGGTAGGTCAGCATCTGTTCTTTGCTCTTTGCTCTTTGAATTGAAACTTCTGATAGCTGTCATTGTGGAAGGCCAAGAGGGTTGCTGATAATGGAGAGTTTGGAGAGTATACATTACATGCATTTATTGACCATAGCATTACTGCCGTCATGGTTTACTGGTATGACTGGGGGTTTTCATTCTCTAGACGTCGAATCTGTTTTTGTGCAATAGCTACATATTCTTCTCATTCCAGAAATCATCAGAAGTGAACCACCCTGTAAATGATTCATGGTCCAGGGCTAAACAATCCTCTGGTAGGCCACAACGAACAACCACCAATGTTTTCTTTATATAACACAAGAAATGATCATTATTTTCTTTGAATAAATATTCTTTTACAGTGGAAATATCTCCATTTTGATTCAAAGTCAACATTAAATCAAAATGGACCCCATTTGCTTTCTTGGTAATGATCCTTTGAGAAAATGCCTATATTTAATATAAATATATTAATATATTTGAATAAACTAAATATATTTAATCGAAATGTTGGAACTTGCTCATCCTGTGAAACACTGCTGATGTCATCTCTTAGGCCGTGCAAAGCTTTAACTTTGAAGTTACTTTGCTAAACTTTTTAGCCATTGTGTTTTTTTGTAAACGCGCTTTCGGTTTGCCTTCACACTGGTACGTAAAGCCCACTTTTCACAATACAGTCAATTCCCAAATGGATAAAATGGAGTCCCTTCCTGGATTTTTTTTTCTCTT